AGATTTTCACCGATCATAAGAGCTTGCAGTATATTTTCACTCAGAAGGAGCTCAACATGAGACAGCGCCGTTGGCTAGAGCTTGTTAAGGATTATGATTGCTCGATTCAGTACCATCCGGGAAAGGCGAACGTCGTTGCGGACGCCCTAAGTCGTAAGGTGAGGGGTGACTTGACGTACGTCGTTACTCAGCAGAGCCAGTTGATTCAGGAGTTCGCCGGATGCAGATTCAAGTGGTCGATACACTTCCCACAGCCATTTCGGGGAGTGTCAGTGCCATGCAGATTCAGCCGATGCTGAGAGAGAGAATCCGGTGGGAGCAGGCTTCTGACGAGTTCGTTCGTGTCATGGATTCTAAAGTCTGCGCCGGAGGCGTCGAGGGTTTTCAGCTAGGTGCCGATGGTGCCTTGGAGTTCAGAGGCAGGATCGTGGTGCCGAAAGTCGAGGCGTTGCAGAAAGAGATATTGACGGAGGCTCATACCGCACCCTATCTAGCCCATCCCGGAAGCACAAAGATGTGCCATGACCTGAAAGGGTCATTCTGGTGGTGAGGGATGAAGAAGGACGTTGCCGAGTTTGTCAGGAGATGTTTTACCTGTCAGCAAGTCAAAGCCAAACATAAGAGTCCGATAGGCCTCCTACAACCACTACCGATTCCGAAGTGGAAGTGGGAGGAAGTCACGATGGATTTTGTCACGGGGTTACCGAGGTCGTCTGAACATCACGATGCTATTTGGGTCGTGGTCGACAGATTGACTAAGGTCGCTCATTTCTTACCAGTTTCGATGAAGATGTCTTTGGATAAGTTGGCTGAGATTTATACCCATGGAATCATTCAACTTCACGGAGTGCCCGTTACTATCGTGTCAGACAGAGATCCCAGATTCGTTAGTAGATTCTGGCAGAGTTTACACGAGGCGATGGGCACGAAGCTAGAGTTCAGTTCAGCCTACCATCCGGAGACTGATGGTCAGTCCGAGCGGACCATTCAGACGTTAGAGGATATGTTACGAGCTTTGGTTGTTGACAGGGGTGCTAAGTGGGAGTCGTTGTTGCCGTACGTTGAGTTCGCGTACAACAACAGCTATCATTCTTCTATTCAGATGGCTCCTTACGAAGCACTTTACGGTCGTAAGTGTCGTTCCCCTCTTTATTGGGACGACGTCGGCGAACGTCGAGTACTCGATCCGAAGATGATCGAGGAAACCGCAGATCAGGTCGAGTTGATCCAGCAGAGACTCAAGACAGCTCAGAGTCGACAGAAATCCTCAGTCGATCATCATCGACGAGATATTCAGTTCGAGGTTGGCGATCCAGCTTTTCTTAGAGTTCGTCCAATTCGCGG